ATCTACATGCCTGTAATTGACCTTCTAGTGTTAGATCAGTGTTAAAATGACACTCAGATATATGACTCTCCTTGTACTTGGATTTCTTCATCACTGTCTTCTGATGAAAATAGAATTTACAAGCTTTCTGGACATGGATACTATTATCTTTATTTTGTGGATAATAAACGAGAGGGAAAATGAAGAAGTGTATGGGAATGCTTCCATTGTCTCCAATACTCTCCTTTAGAACCACCCCGGCAAACCACAAAACAAGCTAAAACAATGTTTTCTAGGCATCATTATCACATTTCCTCTCCAACCTAATACGTTTGCTGAATGTTTCCTAAGGGGAACATGTTTCCTTGCTGCTAACAGCATCAAATATAAGCCTTATTCCATTGTCAGTCATCTGCAAACAACAAAAAGACATAGTTCACTTCTATATTTGATGGCAACATGGTATATTAGATGTGTAAGAGCTTACACAGACCAATACATGGAACACCAGAGTTTAATGCAGAGTTTAAATCAAAATTAAATGCCAGAAGAGCTATCTTCCTATTTCCATATTTCTAACCATTAGCAATATACTTCAGCCACAGTCACCAAACTATACTTTTTCTCAATGAAAACCAGAGGTCACAAAGCACAGAAAAGAAAATAAAGTTGACAGGTATGTGGTTTAAGTATCAGGCTTGCAAAAATTGATATTGTCCTTAATAGCAATTGATACAGACGGAATCATAAGGCAAATGATCTGTCAATCTTGGGAGTGTGCTATGAACAGCCAGGAACTCTATTGTTTCTTGGTTGACACAGACCTTCACAATCCGTTTGAGGGATAGCTGGGGATTTCAACTTAGTATGAGGGCCAACATGCATCCCAAAGTCCAGTGTCTCTCCATGTGTGTGGTCTGTCTAAGCCAAGCAGATCTTTTAAAACAAGATCAGCTCTCCTCCAAACTCCCTTTCCACATGAACTGCCCATAATCTATGCACTTGTGGGCCTTAGTGTGAACCTTCTTGCCTATAAAATAAAGTAAATCAGTGCCAGTGTATGACCTAAAAATTCTCCAAAATAGTATTTGAAAAATAATATGAGTTTGATAAAATTTAAATAATGACAGATTTTAAATGACCACAATGTAAGCTTCAAGAGATACATAAGTCTATCCTTTTTATTTACTGTTGTATTTATTGCACCAGGTTTTATGTGTGTATCATAGTGGAGAATAATTCACTGGATAAGTGTTGATGAAGAATATTAACTCAATAAAAGTATCAAGAGCTTAATGACCAGAGATACATGTTTTTATTTGTCTCCATCGTTTGAATGCCTCCTCCAAATAAGGACAATTACAAGCATCTGGCATTTATGCTGAACCTCACTGAAGCAAACGCACAGACAATGCAAACCCAAGTGGAAACTTTGAGTATTGCCTTGTTATGGTCTTTTAAAAATGATGCTCCAGGGAATGCAAACAATCAATTTGGACCTCTTAAAAGGAGTATAGGAATCTGAAGAGTTGTATATCAGCTAGAGTTTTCCTCATATTCATTTAACCATGCCAATCTCTTTCTTTACATGGGATGTTTAGCTACATGGTATGGTATGTAATGTAAGTGTTTTGTTGTAAGCTGCAAAACCAGTGTTTGACTGTCCTGTGTGAAAAAGGAAGATCAGATGCCAATACCAAGAGCTCCACGTGTGGGATTTAGACTCAGAAGCTCTAAATGTTTTAGAAAAACAGTGAATGTTAAAATTTAAATCTATGATCATAAAGAAAATGTCAGTAATAAAAAAGTTGCAAACAAACCACAGCAACAACACAACCGACACCCAGCTACTCCTTAAGGATATCTCATATTTTATTTCATGTTCTGTTTCTATTCATTTTATTAATAGGACTCTGAGGCTCCCATTAGTCTTAATTTGATTTTTCAGATACAATTACAAAGACCTACTTAGATTTGCTAACTCTCACTGAGACACACACCCAGCAAGAGATCGTGGTGGAGTCCAAGCCTTCACTTACTCTACCAGGTCCTGTGTCAGGAACTCTGGCCACCTTCAATCATATTTTTTCTCATCATATTTATGATTGTGAGCTGAAATGATGGACTAAACATATTAGCAAATACATCTTTTGGTTCTCAATATGAATGACACCATCTGCTTTAGGTTTGCACACATGGGAGATCTCTCCATGAATAGCAGTGCACTACATTTGGGTATTCTAGAGGATGCCTATGATGGTGAGGCTCACAGGTCAGTGAAATGTAGATGACAGCTAACTGCTTCCTGATATACACTGGAATATACAAAAAGGCTGAAATTTATCCAGCAAGTACAAAGATTTCCCAGTGACTTCATGCCTGTCCTCTGTAAGATGCTGGGAAACTTTAGTGTGATAATGACATTTATGGTTCCACACTCTACAGGATTCCCTTTGGAGTTCTTCAATTTTACATATGATTATTAACCATACAGTAGTATTCCAAGACAAGACATATTCACAGTACATACATGCTAGGGCCTGGCACATGAATTCACTTTCAGTAACTTCTAAGACTCTCTCTCTCTCTCTCTCTCTCTCTCTCTCTCTCTCTCTC